TAAGTATAGGCACGTGGTAGAAATACTTGTATTTTCTCCGGAATTTACATATTTACCATTCCCGCAAGTTAATGTTATCAAACATAGCATACTTGATTTTCTTTGGTAGGATAACACTTCAAGAGGTTTCAAACCCAAACTAAGCTCGCTTTATGACGAGCAGATTAAACGTATCAAACACATCGGACTCCAGCTCGCCCGGGTACTAACGGCAGACCCTTGTTCTCCACAGTAACAAACAGCGGATTTCAGCTCGCACGGGTACTAACGGCAGACCATTGTTCTTCACGGAAACAAACAGCGGACTTCAGCTTGTCCGGGTACTAACGGCAGACCCTTGTTCTCCACAGGAACAAACAGCGGACTTCAGCTTGTCCGGGTACTAACGGCAGACCATTGTTCTCCACAGGAACAAATAGCGGACTTCAGCTTGTTCGGGTACTAAATGGTACAGACAGCGGATCCCAGTTCGCACGAATACCAATGGCAAACAGTTGTTCTCCACGGGTACCAACAGTAGATCTCGGTTCGCCCGAGCACTAGCGTCAGACCGCTTTTCTCATCCGGGTACTAATAGCGAACGCTTTTTTAAAGCGAAAACGGAACTTGGATCTGGTTCCTAGTTAAATGGAACTATAAGCTAGGAACTGGGAACCAATTTCAGGATTCCGTTTGGAAGTATATGTAGATTCGTTGAATATTTTAGGACATCATGTTATGTACCGAAACCAGATGTGGAATATAGATGACATCGTCCATCACACCACATGTTTTCCTATCTAAAATGTGTTGTCTCATTTCCTGTGACTATTTCGATCCATATCAAAACTGATTAACAATTCAATTTGCAGGGAATTAGAATAACATACATTTACTACAATAATACTTACTGTGTAGTACTTGAAATCCTAAGTTTTAAGATATATGTATTAACAGTCATTATAAGTGTCAGTAAGGAAATGCTATATTGCCAGAGAGATAAGAGTTATTCTACAAGTAAGAGAGGAAATGTTAACATTTTTCATTATTTTTATTTTTCAACATGTAAACTGTCTTTTGATTAGACGGCTTATAAAGCGATATTGAATGGAGCATACCCAGGAATACCCGATCTTATAGAGACGCACTATACATTGTTTTATACTATTCCTTACTCCATGTTGCACATTTAGTCTTCCTAATTATTGCGTCTAAATTGTAACTATGGTCATTACTGCATGAAGCTTGTCATCATTTTTTTGTCCTTCGAAAACTTAACTCGTAAAAATCAATGTTAGTAATTAACATATCAAAATTATTCGTAATTATGATTTCATTTTCTCATTGCTGACACTAATTTTCTTTTCTTTTCTTTTTCTTTTCTTTTTTTTCATGTTTTCTTTCTTATTTTTTTCGTTTTTTATTCTTTTTTTATTTTTGTTTGTTTGTTTTTTGTTTTTTGTCGTTCTCGTCAATATGATATTGTGAAGTCAATGTTCACCAAAATACCTCATGTATTACACCATAGATATAGATTAATATACATGTATGTAATCATAAATAATAGCCTTATTGTATTGTGATATCAACCAGGACGGAATCATACTGACCACGGCTACGACCTCGGTTAATATCTTGTCTTGGGTTGATAAATCTTGGTATCGACCTCACTCAAAATGTATAATAGTCTGCAGAGCCAATTATATATCTTAAAGCAAATAAGTTGGAATTATAGAGACCGGATTATAGTACAAAGTTTATTACAGTCCAGTATCTAATACATTTGTCAGTCTTTTATTCAAAAGTAATTAAGTTGAATGTCTTACTAATTATAGAAACTGAAATAAATATATTGATCATAAAATATTTTATTTTGTTTTGGGAGCGGTACAGCGTTGAGTACATCACTCTCACGAGAACCGTCCTGCATAGGACAGTGTTAATCTGTACCAGACCGGGCCATGTAACTGACACCACATCCCCCTCCCCCTCACCTCCTCCCCCCTTACTCCCCCTCCCTTCCTCCACTTCCACTGGTACACCAGATTACAGTTATAAATACCAATATATATCACAATGGCCAAAGGTGAAACCCCCAAAAATGTATTAGGAATAGACTTTTTGATACAACTCTGATTATAAAAGATTCGTCTTAGTCTTTCACGGATCTATTAAGGTAGAATTATATTGTTTCTTTACGAAATATGTTTCGTCAACTATTCTGTTTTACAGTACCGTCGTATATCATTTTTTTAAATTATTAACATTTAAATAATTCTGTTTATTTTTACCATGAACATTTTGTACAAAGTGAATGTGGGGAGTTGTTCATGATACGTCTGAGAACGGATGGTAGTGTTAAAGGTGCCTTAGATTGTGTGATAGGACCTACCCCCTCCCTCTGGGTCGGTCCTAGTTATTAATTAAGAAGAGGTGATAATTGACTTGCTACTGCTAACAGTAAAGTCTTAGATATAATCTTGGTACACGTGATAAACGCGTGGCTGACTATATTTGGATGTTCGCTGTCTTCAGTCGTCAATACCTACTTGGTCACTGTGACATCAGCAATTATTTTTTTGTTGACATAGAAACAGCGGCAGTTTACCATTCAAATGGTCATCCCACTAGACAGACCACAGTATTGATAATACAAAATATATGTTAATTAAGATCAGCTCATGCTTTGCGGACATATTCAAGTAAAACAGTTTACATTTAAGATGAAATATTTCGTGTTCGTTTCAAGCATACAAATATACATGTAAAGTACCAACTTCATTAACATTCAGCTACGGGTACAGAGCTTACAAGAAAAGATAACTCCTTCGTGATAGGTAACTGAATTGGTTATACTGTTTTCAACTATGATAAATGTTAATTTTCTTTCGCCATCCAACTATAAAAAGTATTTACTCATTTTTAAAGTTTAAAAAAATCATTTTCCATACACCAACACAAATTACATAATTAAAAAACGCGTTGTAATAAAGGAACTAGTGGTCTGGCATATCTGCCTGTTTCAATTACTGGCGTGAGAGAACCACACCCAACGACAAATTATTGTAGCAAGAGAGAACAACAATTTACAGTAAATTACAAGTAAGAGAGAACCACATTTTACTGTAAAGTACTGGTGTGAGAGAACCACATTTTACGGTAAAGTACTGGTGTGAGAGCACCACATTTTACGGTAAAGTACTGGTGTGAGAGAACCACATTTTACGGTAAAGTACTTGTGAGAGAACCACATTTTACGGTAAAGTACTTGTGAGAGAGAACCACATTTTACTGTAAAGTACTGGTGAGAGAGAACCACATTTTACGGTAAAGTACTAGTGTGAGAGAACCACATTTTACGGTAAGGTACTTGTGTGAGAGAACCACATTTTACGGTAAAGTACTAGGGAGAGAGAATCACATTTTACGGTAAAGTACTTGTGTGAGAGAACCACATTTTACGGTAAAGTACTTGTGAGAGAGAACCACATTTTACGGTAAAGTACTTGTGAGAGAGAACCTTATTTTACGGTAAAGTACAAGTGAGAGCGAACCACATTTTACGGTAAAGTACTAGTGAGAGCGAACCACATTTTACGGTAAAGTACTAGTGAAAGAGAACCACGTTTTACGGTAAAGTACTTGTGAGAGAGAACCACATTTACGGTAAAGTACACGTTTTAGTAAAGTACTAGGGAGAGAGAACCACATTTTACGGTAAAGTACTTGTGAGAGAGAACCACATTTTACGGTAAAACTTGTGAGAGAGAGTACATTTGTAAAGAGAGAGCGAACCACATTTTACGGTAAAGTACTTGTGAGAGAGAACCACATTTTACGGTAAAGTACTTGTGAGAGAGAACCACATTTACGGTAAAGTACAAGTGAGAGAGAACCACATTTTACGGTTAAGTACTAGTGAGAGAGAACCACATTTTACGGTAAAGTACTTGTGAGAGAGAACCACGTTTTACGGTAAAGTACTAGGGAGAGAGAACCACATTTTACGGTAAAGTACTTGTGAGAGAGAACCACATTTTACGGTAAAGTACTTGTGAGAGAGAGCCACATTTACGGTAAAGTACAAGTGAGAGAGAACCACATTTTACGGTAAAGTACTAGTGAGAGAGAACCACATTTTACGGTAAAGTACTAGTGAGAGAGAACCACATTTTACGGTAAAGTACAAGTGAGAGAGAACCACATTTTACGGTAAAGTACTAGTGAGAGAGAACCACATTTTACGGTAAAGTACTAGGGAGAGAGAACCACGCCCTACAGCATATATTGTAAGTTCTTTTCTTTGTCCTAAATATATATAGCCTGATAAGAAGTTCGAAACTTTTTTTTAATGTTAATATCTTCTACCCTTTTAAATCACTATCCCTACCATCTCAGAGAGAATTCTGCCATATTCATCTTTGGTAGGTATATCTAAATGTCTTTCGCCGCATTTCCTCGTATGAAGTTGAGTAATATAACAATATTATGTAACACGTGTTTCTCCATATACGCTGCTACTGTAGAGTCCCAAACTTCTTTTCAGAATCTTTGCTTACAGATACATTTCATTCAAAGCAAGTGTTTAGAATGTTTTATAATAATGAAAAAAAATACACGAGTTTACACCTGTGATGTTTACACCTGTGACCATTACACCTGTGACATTCCCCTCTGATGATTACAACATCGTTTTCACACCTGTGATGGTACACACGTTATATGCTTATCTCAGTGATGTTTTACACATGTGATGTTTATGTCAGTGATGTTTTACACCTGTGATGTTTATGTCAGTGATGTTTTTACACCTGTGATATTTACATCTCTGATGTTTACACTTGCGACTTTTATACCTGTGATATTTCACTCTGATGCTTACAATTCTGATATTTAAACATGAGATGTTTACACCTGTGACAATTACACCTGTGATGTGTATATCTATGATGTTTACACCTGTGATAATGCACGTGATACTGTTAAGTCAAGTACGCTGATCTCGTGCGAGTCTCCACCCCCGTACATAGGCGAGTGATGCGACATCGACGCGTGATCTTTATCGGTGTCTGTTGCTGAGGAGATGTGGGCGCGGCTTGTAGCCATCAGCACTTATGATTGGATCAACGTATGTCAGATTTATGCAAATATCCCGCGCGGGTGGCTCGCGTGCACATTTTGACATGTAGCTTATCGGATTTCGACAAATGAGAGAGATACTTGAATTATTCCGTTACTTCTCAGGACTTGAAAGAAAAACACCGGTTATGTGCTATAGAATGGTAGAAACTCCACGAGAATGCATTTCTGAATAGTTTGGATCCGCCGGAATGAGTAACTGTGCCGATATGATGTATCCGCTGTACCCTCCGTACTTTCCACATAAAACCCCCACCAATGACATATCGGTAAGTACACATGCAAGTCTCAAATAGTTTCATCATAAAGAATTTTCATTTGAAATTGATTTTCTTTCTTCTTTCAGCTTTCCCACTAAACACGTGCCAATAGAAATAGTTTAAAAAGAAAGTAGGAATTTCTGATCGCATATTTTTGCTTTCTGATCACATAGTTCCGCTTTCTGAACAAACATACCAGTCGGTCCACGCGCATAGGGTAACACACGCAATGATTCGTAAAACGTTTGCGGTAAATATTTTCTCCGATACCAACAGAAATTCCATAACATGTCTGAGATTTTAGCCAGAAATAACGGTCATTTCTTTCCTCATTTCATACGATGTGCAAAAATATTTTCCGATACGTAAACCAAATGTTGTTGAGCTATTAGTAGTTATAATATCGTCCGTCTATCGTCGGGACTAGAGATTCCAGATTTCAGGTCGGTGTGATTTTCAGGGTTTTACTAAGTCTATTTTGTGTGTAGGAGATGGACGTATTTCACCACTACTTCTTCGTATGAAATGTGGATTTTAATTGACTTTAGAGTTAACAAGAGGCGAAACAATGTTAAAACATAATAGTGTGACGAAATTGTCATCGGACTCATAAAGTCGGAATCGCAAATGGGATTTTTAATTTTCGAATCTTTCTGTTCTCATTGAGGAAAGAAAAATATCTTTTTCTGAATTGTGAGTAATGTAAGATGTAGAAATCGCATAGATGTATGCACTGCAATACAAGTAAACAGGCCACCGCCGGCTGTCTCACATTGTGAACTTCTGTTTCCCGCACGGACTACTCTATGTAATATATTCTGACACCGTCGACTAAGCTAGGATAAATTCTAAATAATAATGTTTCAAGATATTGACTGATTTTATTATTATTATTATTATTCTATATTTTTATATCTTTTTATTTTTTCAAGCGAGCACAGTGACCGGCACACACAATGCATTCATTGTCTATAATAAGACAATGAAAAAATCTATATACCAACAGTGTGGCGGACATTGATCTCACTGTTTATCTATTGATTAATTTATCTCTAGATTTGTTCATCTGATTTATTTATTCCATTTCACTTTTAATTATTCAGAACCAAACCGAAGCTTGAACTTTTATCTAAAATTAACTTACACGTTTTTCTCTTGCAGAAATACGGTTCCACCGGAAGTGCCCCTTTGTATGACCACACAAACAACGCGTATCCTTCCATCCCGGATACTGTCAACACGAACGGTTCTAGGAATGCCGACTTGGGTAGCACCAATGTCGACATGGAGAGTCAACCCAAGGCGTCTCAGTATGTCAACCCCAACTGTGTGCTACTAAATTACTTCACCGGTGACACAGCGACAGTTGTGGACGAACATTTTTCTCGTGCACTGAGTCAGCCGAGCAGCTTCACGGCCGACCGTGGTACGACACCACTCCGCAAAACAGGTAAGCTGAATTCATAAACTTTATAGCCTACTTTATCTAAAATTAGTGATTAATACAAATCTAAATCCAGTGACAATAACAATAATAATTCAAACAGGTACGAGCTACAGACTTAAATAAAGTGATTAATAAAATCCTGATATTGGCGATAGCCGATAACTTTAAACTGAATACACATTTAAATCTAGTGACAATAACAATAATACAAATTAGTAATAATTAACAAAACGGAGAAATCTACATGTAATGATAACTTTAAAATTCAAACAGGTGCGAATTAAATAATTAAATTAGTGATAACAAAAAAATGATAATTAAGAACCTAAAATACATGATAAACAAAGACTTAAAATTGATACTATAACATGTAAGCTAACGATAAGTATGTAGATGTGTGCCATCTTAATGTCTGAACATTAGTGATAACTTACCACCTAAGCTGCCGATAGCTAAAACTCTAAAATAAAATTGATGATAAATAACAATACGAATAGTAATAACTAGATAAGAAAACTTGACAAAACCCTAAAATTGGTGATAGATACAAACATAAAAAAATTCTACTAGGTATTTTTTGTAGTCTTGGCACTTAGTAATGATAATGTAAACATGTCCGAATGTGTATAAAATATTCTTATATTTTTTTAATGTTTAACTGCAGTAGATTTTTTTACTGGGTATATCTTTTGGTAATCAAGAAAAAATATTCGGTGGAGGTAAACTGGAGAAAATTAGTTTAAGATAACAATGAGAAATTATACAACCTGACGTAAACATATGAAGAAATTTTGTTATTGTATTATTTGATATAAAAATTTTGAACATCCCACTTTGTCATTAAGTTTTTTTATTTACTCGAATAGTTACGATTAGTTTTGTTTTGGCGTCATAACATGTGCATTATGATTGTGTCTTCCTTATGGCATATTAAGCATGATAAAGTTTGACATTTTCTGTCTACAGTTAAAACTTATCATACATCAATATCTGTATTGATATTTAGACTCTATGTACACTATATTAACATGTCTATATAAGTTGGTGGTGTGGGTACAATCATCAAACCCACGATCCCCGCCGTTCTTAAAGTATCTACCTTATTCATTTCAATTCCATCGGGAGCTTTCACCAGCGATAAGACTTATGGCGTCGTATTTGTCAATTATCACCTAGTAAGAATTAACGGTGAACAGCTGATAAACTCTGCCCTCGACTCCACAGCCTAACATGACTCCCTGGGGCATACAGAACATTCGATCCCACACCTCCTTCACACCGACGAAGGATTTTGGGGGCTGAGCGACCTCGGTTAGTCGAGCCACAACGCGAACTCCCCAATCCACTTGTAATTTAGCATAAATCTTAACGATAACTTTATGATATATACACATTACAAAACAGCGTAAAATTCTTATCACTAAATATTTCTTAACAGATTTATATCTTTATGTATGTCGGGTATTTTTGTTCGCGAGTCAAATACTGAAAACCTTTTGGTAGGTCGGAACTGCTGTTCACCAAATACGCTCTACCCCAATGCATAGGTATTAGTAATACTCTCACTGCGCATTTATTTTCAAAGCAATTAAATATAAAATTATGATAATTTCAATATTATAACCGTCATCTTTGACATGCATCCTGCCAAAAATTTATCATGGAGTGTAACTTTCTTTTCCATATTTCCTATATCGGTGTATTGTGAGAATGTTTCACGTAAACGTGATGTGTATCTTGAACGGATGTATCTGTAAGTAAAAAGTCGTACCTATTCCTTTTGTGATTAAACAGCCAGACGGACAGTAATGATAGATACAAATAACGGCAGATAAAACAATGGAACTCTGTCGACCTGGATTTTTTTATTTGCTATTTTTTTCAACCTCTCTTTTGTCTGTTAAGAAAGATCTTACATCAAAAATACCATATCACAAAGAACAAAATATAGATATAATTTGTCACGAATTTATGATATACTTTACATATACGTACCGCTATTTAGAACATTTTGCTTTGACTTAGACAAATAAAAATCGTACCATGTTATAGATGCTGAAACTGCCTCAAACCAGTGCCAAACATTAGATCATTAAATACATCATGGACTATTTTAAGTTGTTAAACAATGTAAAATATCACTTTAGTATCATTCCCAAATTTATTTCTTCCAAACTGCAAAGCAAATAATAAATATATCGAAACGACAAACGAGTTGTACAACTAGACAGCAATGATAACATACGTAATAAGGCCGTTACCATAACGAACACAAATAATGTCACGAAGGAAAATATATTCTCGCGTAGGGAAAAATATCCTCGCGAATCAAATTAAGGCAAATAAAATGTCATCTATAATATATTGTTAATACGTAAAGTAGAATTTGGCCTTCTGTATAACGATATTTACAACACACTATAAATATCCAGGTAAGGAAATCTGACGAGTAAGGTGATCAGTAACCATTAGGTTGACTTTAAAGAACTATATTTTATTTTATAAAGATTCACGTGTTTGTAATATCAATGATATGTTCATTTTGTTTTTAGTATATAGGTCATATATGTACTAAACTCATCCGTACCTGTTTATCTAATTCACGCTTCATATGACCTCACAGTAAAATTTGAATTGTCTATACTCTCCTAATTATACATCTTAAAACGTTACCAACCTTTTCTTCACAGTCAGCCGTGTGATGAGAATAGCCGTACACAAAGGCTACAATAACGATAGAAAACTGTCATTCACACATCGGATACGAGTAGAAATAATGTTGTGCAGTTTTTGTCGGTAACGATTGCACCCTGACCACGTTTCTACTTGGTTCAATAAATCATTAATGAAAACTAACCTGCTTAAGGGATGAGCCATTTCCTACATATGAAAAAGGATGTTCTACTGGTTATCAGTATATCTAACACACTTCTGTTCATCAAGTAATCCATCCTACCAAACGACATCAAATGAATTAGAGTTGTCCATCCATCTTCATATTAAAATATCATCTATTGTGTATTATTATCTTAATGATAACTTCAACAACTTTGGTAAAACCACTGACAAACGAGCCATAACCTTAGAACTATTGAGAATGTCTTTCGATCGCAATAGCTGACAAAACCAATAGTTTTGTCCGATATCAATTTCTGGATTTACTCAAATTTAATGTTGGCCTTTGACGTATTCTAAGAACAACATTAAAATAACCACTTATAGGGAACAATCATCATACACACACATATATATATATATTGGTATATTTAGTGTTAAAGAAACACTATATAATTAATGAGTTCCAAATAATTTGTAGGTAGGAATGTTTTAAAGGTCTGAATACCAGCGTTTTTGTCCCTGAAATGATTTCGGGTAGTGTCTACAGGTGAGAGTAGAATGAATTTGATGTTATCAATTTAATGAATTCTAATGAAATGTTTGAAAAAAAGTACTTTAGATATGTCCCCTTTTGTATTTTGTAGACAAACCACTGATGTGCCATCGAAAGTTACCGCCGTCGTTCTGGAATAGTTCGTACCGTCCCCCGGCAACTACCAATCCTTTGGGACCCTCGGGAGGGGGACTTGATTACTCCAGGGACACGTACTTCAGTCCCTCCTGGTACTCTCTACAGAACAATTGGCCGTACAGACTTCCTTCCCACGGACACTCGGAGCTTGGACAAAGTCTGTCCTACTCGTCCCTTGACACTTCCAGCAAGTTGAGTAATCCCTACCAGTCCTTTGTGTTTCCAGCAAATTATGATTCCAGACCTTCTAAATTTGAATTTTCCAAAAACATGGATCCCCTGAGCGGATCTAGTGGCTACTACGGACTCTCAAGATTAGGCATGGACTTTCCGTCAAAAAGCAACATTGAAAGTACTGTGTCTGGTGAGTAAATATATGAAATAGTACTAATTTTCGTAAGTGAAACATTTTACTGTTCCTGGTTAATGAAAGTCACTAACTTCTTAGTTTCAGATTTTCTGTAATTTCTTATTTCCGGTCCACTTTACATTATCTCTTAACTCTGCTTCTGTTTGAATAAAAAATTTTATATCGCTTTAGACTGTCTTCAAATTTCACATCTCACTTTCGATGAATTTCAAAGGTATTCCTTAAACTAGAAAGATGCTGCCATACAAAGCCACAGGCTATCTAGTACAATTTCATTATTCTGAACATCATTCTATTCTTACAAAACAGGTTTCACTCTGATAAAAGATTTTGCCCGTTTCTTTTGTTTTGGTCTGCATTTTCTTGAATCTTGAATCTTTGAAACTTTTGGAAAAGAGAAAAGAGGTTACTTTTAGGAAATTTTATAGCAGTCATCAAATGTGTATTATTCTATGAGAGAAGCTGCAGAAATACTTTTATATAAAGCAATATTCTAGGTCACTGGCTACCTCTGAAATCATTAGAATACAAAGAAACCATGGTGTTATCTGAGGATGTCTGACAGAGAATTGTGTAAACTTTCTCAGTAAAATAGTGAATGGATATAGTTGCAACATCATTTTAGTTAACGATAAAAACATGGATATTTTTTAAGTGCGCCATGAAGTTGAGAAATATGAATTCTTATCGCCATTTTGTTTTTCCAGGTCTGGAGTACCAGCTTCAGTCGGCACGGAGAGAATTGTGTTGGTGACGTCAATACAACATTGATGACAAACTTCCGGTGTCATGTGTGCATAAACTAAACACCAAAGATCTATCGTAGGTCTTCGCCTAATTGTGGTATCATGATTTCTCGTCAGCAGGGACGTGACTATTCGTTATTATGAGGATTTACTGAGCACGTGACATATGTGATAAGAGTTCTATGTTCCGTGCATTGTGATCAAAGTGCCAAATTGTTGTGATTGAAAACGCATGCAGGACAGTAACACATAATACGGCGTACCCAGATGTACCCAGGCGTCTGCAAAGTCCCTGGAAAATTATTCACAGTCAATATTGAAATGATTGGGATATAAAATAAAGCTGTGATACAGATGTAAACGTCTACCTGTGCGAAACTGATGATACAGGTGTAGATGTCTACCTGTATAGGACTGATGATACAGGTGTAAATGTCTACTGATACGAGACTGATGATACAGGTGAAAATGACTACCTGTACGAGACTGATGATACAGGTGTAAATGACTACCTGTACGAGACTGATGACACAGGTGTAAATGACTACCTGTACGAGACTGATGATACAGGTGAAAATGTCTACCTGTGTAGGACTGATGATACAGGTGTAAATGTCTACCGATACGAGACTGATGATACAGGTGTAAATGTCTACCGATACGAGACTGCTGATTAAGGTGTAAATGTCTACCTGTACGAGACTGATGATACAGGTGAAAACGTCTACCTGTGTGGGACCTGTGTTAAAGGTCTGTGTGTGTTAGAATGTATTTAAGACACGTAGACGACTGTTGATATCTGACAGAATATTTGGAAATCAAAAATACAATATCTATGCATTCCTTCCCTACTCTAGCCGGAATCCGCCGGTATCCCGGTCATTACATATCGACAGCATCATACGTATATATTTGTCGATTTTCATTTTCAGCTTATTAATTGTATCTGTTTATATGTGTTATTTGAAATGACAATTTTACACGCTAACTTTCTAACCCTCTACGCAAAGACTGCTTCACTGTGCCGGCAAAACCTTATGTGCAAATTTAGCATTTTCTATCTGAGTAGAAGCGAGTACATTGTTTTGTCGTAGGATCTAACAGAACAAGTAACAATTGTGTACAATAGTTACATATTACGCACTGTTTACTGTCAATATTTTATCAAATAGAGTATACTTTACACCTGGAAATGAAACACATTCAATAGTAAATGTGTTTAAAGTATATATACCGTTACCAAGTGAAGTTAAACTCGGGTTTCTATGATATAAAGAGAGTCATATCTGATGACGTCACGAATGACAGGAAGGGCTCCCACCCAAAATAGTGTCAAGTACGGACAGAGAGATCCAACAGATACCTATTCTTTGACGCGTCTGTCTCAAAGAGTCCTTTAAAATTCCTGGAATGGAGCCGAAACTTTTATACCGATCACTTCGCTCCCTTTGATTTCCTCTATTCCTGTCGGTAGTCCAGAAGATAAAACACGCTGTATGGGATTTACACAAATTTGAAACGCTGTTCTAAGCATTCCCATGAAACTTCATAGAATCTTGAGCATTTCTCTTAGTATTATTGATATACAGGACCCATATTCATTTACGCGTTGTTTTACCTTTATACAAATTGCTGTCGTTTTGGATCTCGCTATACACTGACAATGTTGGCATATCTTTTGCTTCATGGGGGTTGGTTTGTTGCATTTAACGACAAAAATCCGTAATGTTTCTCCGGTAAGGAATTGTTTATCATTCTTCACGCACGTGTTTCTTCAAACAACAGCTTGCCTTACTATGTTCTTCCGTCAAACAACAAATAATTTGCATTAGTTTGTTCCATAAAAAGACAGCTAACCTTCATTTATTCATTCATAGCATCGACATCTAACTTATCTGTGTGTTCTGTAAAACGACAAAAATTTACAATTGTATTCCGTAAAACAGCTAACCTAACATTGTGTTCCGTAAAACAGCTAACCTACCACTGTGTTCCGTAAAATGACATCTAACCAATCTTGTGTTCCATAAAACATCTAACCAATCTTGTGTTCCGTAAAATGACAGCTAACCCATTTTTGTGTTCCGTAAAACAGCTAACATACTTTTGTGTTTAATAAAACGACAGTTAACCTACCATTGTGTTCTGTAAATGACAGCTACTGTATTATTGTCTGTTCCCAGTAAAACAGAAGCTTACCTTCCTTTGTTTGTCCCGTTACTGCAGTAAAGCAGTGTGTTGTGTGTTCACAAAGAACTGTATAGATAAAACATATGTATATATTATTATAGAATCGGATGTATATTTCTCTATGACGTTTTATGTAAATAAGATATACATTTTACTGTGAGAATCAATGTAAGAATGGAGAGCTGTGTGAAGTAAAGAATAAAACAAAGAAATATTAATGTTTTGTTGTTATGTATTTATAAACTTGTATATTGTAGTAAAGATAGTTGACTGGAATTTTTTTATTGATTTAAAAAAAAATAACATATATATCTGGTAAAACACGATGCCGCATTTGCATAAATTGGATTCTCAACTCAATTCATTTGCAACATTCATTTTACAAAGTTAATTACATACGTAGATTGATAGCAATCGATGCTATAAACAGTCACAACGGTTTAACCATTTAAGAGTGTTAGACAAGACAGGATACCAATTCCAATTCAATTTCTTTCCGTAAGTTATACAACTTATTGGATAAATAACAGGTAAAAGGACAAAGACACTCACACTCTTACCATTATAAACACCATGTCATCATTCATTATGTTGGTGTAATATTTTTGGAGGAGACCACGAAAATTCTAATTAAATTGTGACAATAAATCTGTCTTACTTTTATTTGCTGATGCTAGATAATTTCCTAAATTTTAAAGTTCTTTTGCATTTTCGACTTTGAGTAACTAAATGAATTTAAACATAGTAGGCTTTTTAAAATAATATGGCATAATAAAATTGGTACGGTTATTTGCACAACACTTTTTATAATAAAATGAGATTTGTCTTCTATATTGTTATAATTACATAAAATACACTTTCTTTCTTCCCTGGTACGTCCCTGTATCGCCCATGTTAAATTACTAAATCATGCGCAGATGAAGTTTAAGATTAAGTTTCTGAAAATTACAATTAACTGATTTAGGTAGGTATGACTGGAGTTTAATACTTTCAACCAGATGTTGCTATAAAAATTCTTTAGGTGAATAATTGACTTTCATAAGACATTCTTGTTGAAAATTGTCAGATAAATGTTGTTTATAAACAATACTATGAAATTTAACAGAATTGTTATTGGTTTCTTCAAACATGTATCCAAGGCCGACAGTTGAAACGTCACAAACCCACTCTCGTCATTTCTAGAACTGTTATATTAACAAGTTCTCCATATCATCTCAGTGTTCTTAGTTGACAAATTAGTGAAAAAATTTCATCATTTGACTTATTTAGTTTCATTTTATCGATATACATTTCTCTAACATTATCATTAAAGGACGCCCATAGAAAAGTCCTTTAGTTTTCAATAACATTACGAAAGGACTCACAAACCCGGTAATGCTGTATAAATATGGTTCCAGTCTCTGTTTTAATGTTTATCATACATCTAAAATATACAGTAAATGTTTGTATTCAGAGAGTTACATCCTTAACGGATTTCTCAGTTTCATTTTCCATTGTGTTATTATTACGTGTATGGTCTTTACCCAAATCTTCTATTTCATTAGTTCTGGCAGGACCATTGATGAAGGTATACCAGCTATATTTAAAATAGCTGTTTTCTAACAAAGGGATTCATTGGCACATTAATATGAGAGATTGTAGAAAAGTAATAACTAGCTTGTTTGTTAATTAATGCATATTAATTCTACGACGCGTTACGTAAATATTACATGAAATACGGCGATAATTCAAGTGACATACAATTCGTTTTGGCCCATTTCTATACTGAATTAATTCTTTAAACAAACTGAAAACATATCGCAATTAATTTGAGAATCTACCAAACCCTATAAAGAGCTACGATTTTGAAATAAAGAGACATGTTTAGAAATCAATGGCGGTATCACGGTGTTAGTGATATCACTGAACCTCGAAATTCCATCACCTATCCCATCGCTGACATCAGTTATCCCCTCCCCCGAACAAAAATAGAATTCCCGGCATCCAGTGTCTGATGGAAATTAAGATGATTAGAATGAAGAGAAGACCATTTACTCCGACAAACAATTAACTTTTCAAATTCATCGCCAAAATTTGTCGTTTTCAAGATAATTTGGTGATTAATAGGATAAGAAAGAGAGGGCTGTGACATTCTGCGTCACTAATATGGTCCGTGATGACAGGAAGTGTACTGGGACTATCTAGACAGTCATTAACATCACGTTAATTTGTCACGGACTAGTGTCCACACCTGTCCACACTACTAAACCACTATCTTATCATCACCATAAACTAACCACTACTAAACGAGCCGACTGATGGGTTTATCCGGAATTATCGTCCTTCGTCTGACTCTACACGACAAGGTATATCTTGGACCCCACCAGGGCTTTAACCGTTCTGAACTATAATTATTATAATACTGGGAAATAATATACACCACTTAAAGACCAGCATTAACCTGTGTGTTCTGTTTCTTCTAAATATAACTGGTATATGGAAACTGTTTTCTACAGACATGGTACCCATTAAACTCTAACCCTTATATTACCTCTTTGAAAATCGAAATTCTGTAACAATTTCAGGAAAACGAGATATGAGAATGTTTATTGAACGATAGAAGGCGCGCAAACGAATATATATTATTTTTTTCAATTACATTCAATTTTCATAAACGGAGCAAAAAATAGTATACGCATAAAGTATATTCATTCAATTTTCTGTGCAAGTGTACGGGGGAAATGTAATGGGTTTCCGAACCTTGCAAGTAAGTGAAGTATCTGAATTTATGGGATAGAGCCTTACCATAATACTAATTAGGTGTCTGTATCTCATTAAGGTAGGTATCGAGGTAGACTTCTTCCGACAGGATGGCTTTGATTAATAGTTTCACATGACCAAACACACAACGTTTTATCTTATCATGGAAACACATGTAATGTAAATTGCATAAAATATTGCTTTATTTTCATTTAACTATATTTCCAAAACTCGCCTGCTGTTTATCCTTTTCCCAAATGTAATCGTTATATTGTTGATTCTACCAGCATTGTTACCCAAATAATGTGTTCCGAATTTGAAGTCTTGTTTTTTCCCGGAAATAGTTATAACTGCGCAGAATATATATCATTATTTCGCATTGGAATGGTGCTCCTTATTCATAGCAAAAGTTTGGATTGTGTCTGATAAGTCGCAACATTACCCTTAAATATAATATTATTGACTCCTAAGTTTAAAATATGCGTTTAGGAATAGGAAAAAGAATCTTGTCGGGGTAACTTAAAACATATTTAAAAATAGGTTTCATTTTCATTAGAAATAACGAACATATTCATTTTTTTAGGAAATTATAAGTTTGAGGGTTTTCGGGAACAATCCTTTATCATGGAATTAATTATCTTTAACGGATTATCATCACAGTGATACTATTCCATATACAATAAATAGTCACGCTATTTGGATGTTAATTATAGATAGGCCTAAACAACGATAACAGTCAACAGTCGTCTAAACCGTTTTAATAATAATTTCGTAACGTATACTTATGGTATTTATGCTTCAAATCCATTCGTTTATCAATGCTTTAAATATAAATCAAAACGCAACTTTTACAATATGGTTATTGATAAGAAATATGGCTACTGTGTCTAGTTCCTGTTCCCCAGCACCAACATTTGTGCCTATTCCTAGCGAACCGTTGAGTGACAGCAATGTTCGGATGCGTAGTTCATTAACAAATCCAATTACCTCAGGGATTACGGTCGTACATACCAGTGTGAAGGTCAGTCTGACGCGTGCTACTGTCAGATTAGTGGTGTTATTGGTAGACATGATGGGTGTTTTGGGACTATTTACTTATCGGGTCCCGAATTATCCGTAACGGTGTCAAACACGGCAATCACAACACAATGATGACCTCATATAGGGTAAGTCCTATACAATCTCCGCATCGCCCTGAAAATGTGAAGACAAATCTAATGTATATATGACAACAAATTTCACTTACAGGAGGGGCGAGTTACCAACATTATTTTTGTTAGAACGCAAGCTTCGATTTAATACGGAATTTATCAAACGACTCCAATAATTCAATATGTAGCAAATCATTTTATTTGTCTAACAATATTTACGACACGTCCGTATGATGGGACACAATAGACCCGTTGGGTGATGAAATAATATATTGTAAAACATACTTTAAAAGAGGGAGGGACATACATAATCATATTTTGACACTAATGTATATTTGGCCTGTAAAATTCCGATATTAGTACTGTGCGTGAATACTTATTATAATATGGTACACGTAAACATCTAAATTCCACTATACACAATTTTTTTTAAAAGACCATCTGTCAAAAGTAATATGGTCACAAAAACACAAAGGTGGGACAAGCTTTTAATTAAATCCGAATAGAAAGTGGATTTTTATGTGTCGACCTGCCATGTTAGATTCTCTGTCACTCGTCCTAGTCCCTGTTGCTTGTTACTTTCTCACCAATACCTCCCGACTTCTCTATGTTTGTACGTAAATAATGCTGTCTCTTGTATTGCACAGGCTTTCAACGCGCCTCGCATTCTCCCACACGTAAGTAATATACGGGCACTACCCTCCTCTCAGGTTATGATTTATCGTCTCGTAATCCCCGGGGGTATCCCCCACCCCCCGTAGAAATTCCTTTCCCGCAAGATTCCTCTTGGGAAGCTTGTCATTCGTGGGTAAGTGGAGAAAAATAAGTGACAGATTATACGGACTTGGCCGTTACATTTGGATTTTCCCTTGCGGAAAGAAACCATCACAGCTGAAACGATTCTCCGCTTAAGGTTAACACCGACTATGAAAAAGCTCAAAGAAGCCGAAAGTCATAACAAAATTACATAGCTAATTACTGAAATTAAATCAGAGGAGAGACTTTTTAAAAAAGTGATTTTCTGGTTTACTTGCTGTTTAGGTATATGTATTAATGAGTTTGCTGGTAGGGTCGTAAATAGGGCTTTATTGCTCGCTGAGTTCCAACACCCCAGCAAGTCGCCCCTTTCATTGGTAGGTAGAAGAGTACTAGTAGTACATCTCACCCCGTCACAACCCTTGGTTTGTTGGCAGTCACCAATTCTGTACCGTAAAAATGAGATGTCATATTGAAAAAAAAACTATTGTAACAAATTTATCTAAAACATTCATATATAACATTTCCTATTTGTAACTTTGGAGAAAATCTTTAAAGAACATTTTCCTAGA